TGATTTGTGGAGCCGTGAAATCTCGTAAAGGAAACCGACTGGTGTAGCGTTACACGTTTGACTGATTGCGAGCGAGATAACATGGGCGCAGCAATGACACAGCCTAGGCGTAGGACCATCTATACTGTCACTTGTAGAATCCAAACTTACTAACTCTTGTAGAGAATTTACTGTACTTACATTTTCAGCTCTGAGAGCTCCGCCGAATGGTTTCTTCAAGTGATGCACTGACTCTAATACCGGTAACGAATTTCAGCAAGAATAAAAAAATAAATAAAAAGTTAATAACGCGACCGTGTATATTATATCCGGCGAACAAAATCACTGACTCTGCCTTCACGTGATTTATTGTGAAATTAGTAAATGTGTTTACTTAAAGAGCTGTGTTGCTCTGAAAAAGAAGAAAAAAAACTTGTACGCAAAAAACACTGACTCTACCGACCGCATTGCACGCGGTCAACATCTCTGGAAATAAAAACTGTTCGTTAGAGAGGGGGAGGGCGTGTTTACATTTTGTTTTCTCGTACCGAGTGTTCGTCAAGAAAATACTGTATTCTTGGAGAAATGCAAAAACTTTCGTGACTGCACATTTCACATTAACACAAGTTTCAATTAAATATCAACGTTTAATAATTATCAAGATTATTTCACGTCGCAGTACCGAATAGTGCGACACAGTGAAATTAATTTGTGAAAAGTAAAGAAAATAAAAATGTTTATTATTAGAGTTATTAATTATTGTTATGTTATCCGAGTCGCGTCGCGAAATACGTCCCGGTTTATAAATATTCGAAAATGTTTGTACGAAGTAAAATTCCATGCCTAAACCGAACCATAAGCAACAGGTAAGTATTCGAATCTACGTAAATTATTTTAGAAAAAAATTAAACTTGCGACGAAAATTGTTTGTGTCGGTAGTTGAACTCGTTATAGAGACAGTAAATGGATTGGTGAAGTAATATTAGTGACTCTACAAGATACAAAATATCGCGACCGAAATGCAGCAAAAGGTGAAAACTATTTCAATAAAATCCAACGACTTTATATTATTAAAAATTCCATATTAAAGCAAAGTTTGAAATGATCAAGCCACGAATTCCTTTCTCGACTATATACAAATGAGTTAAATTCGAAAGAAAGGTGTTTCATTTGTTCTTCTTGCATCTTAGTATATTGCTCAATTACTTATAATGTTAATGAATTAATTATAATATAGGTATAATTAGTTATACCTGTCTTTAATTATGCAATAAATGTGTACCATGTGTTACCATACATTGTTATATACCCACATAAAATCAATAATATAAAAAAAAAAGAAATGCATACATACGATCGGCTTTATAATAATAAATTAAATATTACCCATTATTCAACAAACCCTTGCCGATCTATTAGGCAGCATAAACGTTGCCATGAGACTAGTCTCTCTCTCTCTCTCTTCTCTCTTCGTCAACCAGATATCTTAACAAAAGAGAAATATTAATTTATAACATGTGTATTGAAAAGAATGTGAATTCGAACTCTATTGTGGAAGTTTATGATATGATGCAAAGCTAATTGAACGTAAATAGAACAAAAAAGAAAAAAGTTCCTCTATATCGTTGTGACAATTCGACAAAGTATCAAAGGAAAGTGTATTAATTAAACAAAGGCAGTAAAAGAGTGTATGTATATAGTGATCGTAAGATTATTACCAGAAATGATAGAATATGCGAATGTGAATAATACGTCTTGTCGAATCAAAGCTCGGTAACTGAATGACTGAATTCCCCCCGTGATATCGTCCTCTACAACAGATAGCAACACACCGAATGGGGTGGGGGAAAGGACGCTAGGCACGTTGCGTGTTTCGGAAATTTCAATGTGAATAACAATTCTGAGAAGTTAACATTGAAAAACTGTGCCCGGAAGTCAGATATGCTCGACCACTAAAAGTGACTAATACGGCCGTTGTGTTTACGAATTTTTGTAAACACAAGTTTCGCGGTGACATATGTATGTTCTCTACGTCGTAACTACACACGATAAAGCGATTGAAATATTCTTCAATTTTATATAACAATTCATGTTCCATCCGTTGAGCAACAATCTGATAGAAATAAATTAAAAGATTGTGTTCACTTACACAATTACATACTGGAACAAGTTGCTCCTATCAATTTCCCGCCGTTTCGGTCCATTTCGAATACGAAATGTTATGGCATCGATATAGCGTCATTTGAATGTTCCTTCTTTTCGAACCTTTTGCACAGCCAAATACCTGTAATAGAATAAACAAACGTTTAATTTAAGGAAAATTAAACAAGTATAAGCTAAAGAAAACGATTAGAGACATTTAGAGATTGATAAACTAAATTTGTAATAATACCTTCCATCAAGCACGTAGTAGTCCAGAAGCAACTGACGAATCCACATATGTCGTTGCTAGGAAACTGGATATAAACAGGAGTGGGAGTAACCCCGCGACCAGCCCACTTATTTAAAATTTTCCAAATATTATATTATTTATTGTAAGATAACGCGTTACAATAACAATTTATTGTGTATGAGTTATTTAGAAATTAACGTCCGTATTATTAAATGTTTGTCTAACACGTCAATTTTATTAACGTGCTACATTATCGACAGCTAATTAAAAATCATTTATTTAAACCATTTACCTACGCGGTAACTTTCCCTCAAGCAGCAGCAGTGTAAGACTGAATAGTAGTGGGGATAGCCTGATCATCTATTCTCTGCTTATTTACAAGTTTGCTTTGGTGGAGGATACATGTGGTAGCACTCATTACGATTATTCTTGCAGTAACAATAAATGTGCGTCTTATTAATTGTTAAGCATTATTTCATTAACTTTTATAAAAATTTTGTTTTTTTTTCTGTGTGCACACATAATATGTACAGTAAATCGCATCATTTCTTGCCAATTCCCTAGAACTAACCTAGAACTAAAGGCACAACGACGGTGGTTCTATGTGAAATGGCATACGATGCATACGATGGCGAATGGCATACGGTGTCATTTCACATAGAATCACCGCCGTTGTGCGTTTATTCAGTTCTAGGGTTTTGGCAAAGATCGATGAAACTCAGTGTACATATATGTATCTGCAAATACACTTTTTCTAAAGAAATGTAATAGGATATCTGTGTGCTTCCATGCTGATACAACATAATGAAAAATCTGTTATCAAATAAACTCTTTTTTAAACATCTATCATTATTATCTGTAAATGTAGTAAAGTAAGTGAATATCTAAAAAGCTTTTATTAAAAAAATATTTTACATTTTTCTTGTGTAAAGAAACAACATGTCCGCTATCCCTTTTGGTATCCGCAACAATTGTCTATTTACCATGCATTACAATAAGAATGTAAGATGATGTGATTATATGTACAGTTTTTTTGACAATGTACGTATTGTGATAGTTGTTCTTGAATTTTATGCGTGAATCATGACGGAGTCGGAACTTTGCCGGCTCTGCGCCGAAACCAAAGAGAATTTTATTGGAATTTACGATGCAGAAGGACAAAAATTAGCCATAGAAGCCAAAATTGCTAAATGTTTACAAATTCAGGTAAAAATATGTTTTCCTTTAATTTGTTACTCGTGTTTTTTTATTTTTGCTGCATTGAAGCTAAATCTTATTGTTTCTTCTTTTATTTTACAAAATAAACGATTGTTTTCAAGTTTTAAATTTATATTATATATTTTACATCTATTAATATCTAAATGTATATAGTTGCAAATAGATATGTGCATTGCATTAATATTTGAATTGAAAATTGCTTACAGGTATTAATAAATGATGGATTACCGATTATAGTTTGTATAGATTGTTGTATTTTACTAAATCAGTGTAGTGAATTTTTTGAAAAAACTAATCAAGCACAAGAATCTTTAAAACAGTTGCTTGTAGATTCTAAAATTGAGCCACAACCATTAGAAACAAATATAAATTATATTCATAGAACAGTTACATTTCCAAAAGAAGAAGAAGAAGTGGGAGAAGGAATTATTCAATGTCATTTATCAAATAACTACATCCATGATAGATCTGATGTTTCACATAACTATTTTATTAAAGAAAATAAAAATAATAATCATGAAAAGTATGATACTGAAGAACATCAGGACATTATGAAACAAAAGAAATGTAAAATTCAACTGAAAAAAACATCACTTAAACAAACTAGAAAAAAATTAAAACGAAAAAATCAGAATCAAAAAATAGAAGATTCAGACATGTATATAAATGCAAATTTAAAGAAGGAGCACGATAATATAAGTGTAAAAGCTAATGTAAAAATTCCTGATAATTATATGACAGGTAAAATATGTATTTATATATGCATTTTTATTTAAGAATATACAGAAATTTCAATTTTCATAGAAAATTAGAAATATGTTATAAATACAATTAGTAATTTAATGATTTAATCATTTTAAAAATTACATATTTTAAACTATTATTGGATTAGGATAATAATATTATTTATTATTTAATACATTTTGTGCCAAAAAATACAGTAATATTTTAAGATAATTAAGATTTTTATCTTTCAATACAGGTACCGATTCAGATTTAGAAATCATAGAATCACATACTGCAGAAACATTAAAATTTGGACATAAAAGAGGAGAAAATTTAAGTAGGTATCCTTGGCTTTGCACAGACTGTAATGATAAGCTACCTAGTTTAGAAAAATTAGAGGAACATCATGAAACTGTTCATAACCAACAAGCAAAATATATGTGTGTATTATGCTATAAAGTTTATGATAAATATTATGGTTTTCTCACTCATGTTAAACGACACAAAAACAAGACAAAATTTAGGTAAAATCCCTTTGTTAAAATATGTGATTATTATTTATATAATTTTCTAATAATAACATCACTTAATATATGCTATGAAGTTGCGATGATTGCGGAAAATCGTTTGTACATAAAAAAGGATTAGATTCTCACAAAGCAATTCATAGCGAAGAACGGCCTCATGTGTGTCAAACTTGTGGAAAAGCATTTAGGCAGCAAAATGCTTTATATATACATAGTCGGTGTCATTTACCAGATACTATGAAAAATAGATTCCCATGTGATCAGTGTGACAAAAGGTATAGTTTTATATATGTTATATTTTTAATATTCTTTCCTTAACTTGTATTATAAATATTTATTTATGCTTAAAATATATGTAAAATACAAGTAATATACAGGTAATAAGGTTTTCAGATTTTCAACAAAACCAAATTTAGTCACACATAAACGAATTCATTCTGGTGTTAGAAACTTTACATGTGACCAATGTGGCAAGAGTTTTATTCAGAAAGGAAATTTAGAAGCTCATTTTTTAACTCACTCAGCAGATAAGCCATATAATTGTACTCAATGTTCATATTAAATATTCAAATATTTAAAATAATTTGCAGTTTTAAAACACCATTACAGTTAAAAAAACATGAAACAGTTCATACAGGGGCAAAGCCGCATCAATGTGCTGTATGTGGAAGAACTTTTAGAGAAAAAGGTACATTAAGGGAGCACCACAGAATACATACTGGTGCAATGCCATTTACATGTGAATTTTGTGGTAAATGTTTTCGCTTTAAGGGAATATTAACTGTAAGTTAATTACATAACTTGTTTTGCATTATTTAAAAATAAGAAGAATGCAGTGTTTTTAAATGTATTTTCAGACACATAGAAGGCAACATACTGGTGAACGTCCGTACAGTTGCTTAGAGTGTCAACACCATTTTACAAATTGGCCAAATTATAATAAGCATATGAAACGTAGACATGGTATTAATACATCACATACAAAGCATTTATCACAATCTCAGCAAATACAATCACAGCAGCAATTACAAGGACAACAACCAGAACAGTCACAAATAGTTCAATCAAATACTTCAGAACATTCTCTTCCTATACCTAATACAGAATCATCAACAGTTCACGTAAGAAATTGTTTGATCTAATTTGAAGTAAATAGCTTTATATAATACATAAAACCTACTTTAAATATTAATTCAAAACGATGTTACAAAATCATATAAAAACATTTGTCCAATTTCATATTATTTTAAGTTATTATAAACGTATTCTAATTATTTATAAATCCCAAAGCATATCTCAAAAGTATGAAAGCAACCATACTAATAACAAAACAGTAATTTTTCGTAATAAAAAAAAATTGAAAATTTTGAGCGATTTTTCAATCGAATGACAATAGAACATGTATTAATTATACGGAAACTAACCAAAACTTACATAGTGTTTGTTTTTTAATGCCTGTAGGTGATACAAACTGTTTCACATGCATCTACAACTCAACCAATTGTTGTACAAACTATTCCAACTACTACTATTCAAAATTTTCAACCTGAGGTGTCCAGTACAATACAAGATACAGTGTTCAGAGAAAGGAATACAACATATTTTAATGCAATGCCAGCAACTCTGCAAAATTTTTTACCACCTAATTTATCATACAACTTTTATAATATTTCTAATGTTACATATAGAGAATGATTTAATAGGGCATAAATTAAAATAAAATTGTTACCCAAATCAGTTTAAACAAATATATACAAACTTTAATTGTTTAAATAATAAATATGAAGCCATTCTTTTCTAGTATGTTAATTCTCTAATATATCTGTGGTTTATTATAAGTAGATGTTTGAATAATTTATTTTAATTCACATTAAAAATTAGTTTCTATGAAAATTTTTTTTTTGTCAATAAATATCAAATAAGAGCGTGTTTTAACTTTAATGTATATGGGATTTATTTGCTTCAAATTTGGTATAATTATAACGGTATTTAACAAATGGTAATTGTAGGAAACAGTATAAAGGGTGTCCCATGCAACTGGGACAAGGCATAGCTTTAATATGATAGAAGGTATAAAAAAAATTTCATTGAGCAAAATTAAATGGTTTTAAATAGTGCGTCACGTGGTACATGTGTCTGCTCTGGATGTGGAGGCATTTTAGAGATATCTCTATTTTTTAAACGGAACTATATATTTTCTTTAATCTTTATAAAAAAGTATTAAGGTACACTGTGGCAACGGTCCTATGTGAAATCGCGTACTGTTAGGATGTCACCAGACATCGGACACAGATAGGGTGACGAACTCGGTCGCGTGCTACTCTCTTGGAATGTCGTATGCTACTTTCTTGGAAAGATCAATGCCCGATTTGGTAACGTCATCACAATGTCGCACAAACAATAAGTCACGTACAGAATAGACCTATCACTTTATGGGACTTCGTGTTACATTCAGAAATATCGATCGTGTAAAAGAGTAGAGATTTTGTTATGCCATGAGTTTAGAAATTATATACAATCCAACCATCAAAGATGGTTGAAAAATGAGTCCTGACATGATCTTATTTGAATCATGCTAAATTATGTGCATAAGAAAATTCATTCTGGAGACTGTGAAGCAAGTCACTTAAGACGAGACTCAGCTCATACGTGTTAGGGTGATTCGCCCCTAAGGTTTTTCCCAGGTCAGCTTCACGCGGACAACGTGCAGAATGTGTAACTGATGTATATTGATTGATGTAAATAAAGTGAAAAAATAAATGTAAATATTGTAAAAAATTTAACATAACTAAAATAAACTACTAGCAAAAGTAATATAAACAATTTTGTGTAATTATATAAATAAGAAAAAGACGAGAAAGGAATTTTAAAAAATTATCAGGACTCGAACTAACGACCATTGGTTTCGCAAGGCAGGTGTTTAACCACAGGCCTAATAGCTTATCTATATCAATTTTCTATACTTCAGGATATAAGGATTAATTTTAATTGTTAATATTTCGTAAATAATTAATCAGCTGCCCCCAAAAGGAGGTATACATATATTCAATCTGATAACTTTATAAGCTGGCAAAGTTCCATTAATAAGTGAGCGCTGCACTTTGTGACTTTTCCTTGTCCCAATCCGAGAATTAAAGTTAGATTGTAAAAAATTTCTTTAACACAGGTCTATTGTTCCTAAGTCCAATAATTTTAATTGATTCTAATTGTGGAATCGGCAGCACTTTAATATTCTAGTGTTAACAGTATCATAAATAATATTTTTGGAGCATACAACTCTACAAATTGCAGTGCAACGATTTTTTACGTATTGTTAAAATAGGTAAGGTTAAAACAATTTCATTGGATATGTGCTTTACAAATTAGACACGTGCAATTCTACCGTCACAAAAAGTAATATTCTTTAAAACTGCAGTGTTTGTATCAATAAAGTACTCATAAATATATATTAATTGAATAAAGTACAGTGAATGTGAAAATCTATTTAAATATTATTTACTACTATGTTTGATAACACT